GGGTTGGAAGGGACCTCTGTGGGTCATCTAGTCCAACCCTCGCACCGAAGCAGGGTCACTTACAGCAGGCCGCAGAGGACCTTGTCCAGGCGGGTCTTGAATATCTCCAGAGAAGGAGACTCCACCACCTCCCAGGGCTCCGTCACCCTCAGAGGGAATCCGGGGGTGTGAACGCTGTTCGGTGCTTGGGTTCACCCGGGCTCGGCGCTGGGCTGCGCTCGCTAATTAAAGTCTCATCTCAACACACAAACAAAGGGGATCGGGGGCACAGCAGCAGCTGAGGACCCCCATAACTTAACAGGAGAAAAGTAACCCTGACCGCTAACGAGCCATCATCCCAAGAGGGCGCAGAATGAGGCTGTGGATGCCGCGGAAGGACCGAACGCTTCACGGTGGCCAGATCACCAGGACTGGTGCTTATGAGCTTGAGGTGCTGTTCTGAGCTGAGCTGGTGGTCAGGATGAGTCCTTGCGTAGCTCTAGGTAGTGGCTGGTGTCTGCGATGGCGTTTGGGGGTCTGCGCCCCCCCCGCCGCAGGCTTTGTACGAAGGATAATATTCGGTTTCTGCTTGTGAAGCCTGAAGGTGACACGCAAATTGGCGGGGTAGTAAATAAGGAGGAGGACAGGTTATTATTATGGAGTGAGCTGAATTGCTTGGTTAAACGGTCACAATTTGAGAAAATTCCCTTTTAATACTGGTAAATGCAGGAGGAACGAAGAAAAACGCCGTCTCCGTGTGCAGGAGGGATGCAGCCGGGGGTTTGGAGATGACCTTTAAGGACCAATGTGGGCAACAGCATCAGGCTGCGGGGTCTCAGTGGGGGTCTGCAGCCTCTGGCCTTGGGACTGCGAAGGAGTGGTGTGGTCTGCATGCGTGATGTTGAGCCCGCTGCTGTCCTTCCTTGGCCAGGGTTCCCAAGCTGCAAGAGGAGCCTTCTAATCTGGGGTCGGAGGAGTAGTTTGAGGGTGCTGGTGCTTTCCGAGCATCCTCCGAAAAGCCCATCCAGCTAAGAAGGGTAGGCTTGGTGGCATCCCATCCTTCACCTCCTTGTGTTCTCCATCCGTGAGGGCAGAGCCGGAGGGAACACGGGCTCCCCCACCCCTCCGACACCCATTTCCAGGTAATGGGCTTTTCCATATTTCACCTTCCAGTTAAATAGCCTGCGCTGGAGCCTAACTGGCCTCCCCGCGCTAATTGTAAGCAAGCGCACCAATGCAAACCATTCCAATCGAGTGCTAATTTAATTAGAAAGCACCCATTTTAGTTAATTTGTTCGAGAAGATCACTGAAAACTCCTGGAGAGAACAGATGTTCCCCTCTCCCCCGATGAACATTCAGGGGTTTGTAAATGGCTCCACTCAGCCTTGTTTAGGAGAGAAAAGAGGATTTTATAGCTGCAAACGACCCTTTCTGTAAACATTTTACAGCTCTCTGCACGTTTGAGTGACGATAAACCCCTAGCAACTCGGCGGGCTGCAAATTTGCGACCATACGGCTATCATTTTATTGTCATATTTCACGGTCGTAACGTTAATGGAAGATGCTCGCTACAGTCTTTTTTAACGGCTCCGCTGAGCACGCTCAAACGCTTTGGCTTTGGAGGAATTCGTGGAGGTGCAGCTCTTCTGCGTTTGTTTACAGCTTTCACTTCTGGAGGAATAACTTTGGAAATGCAAATCTCCCTCCTCAGCTGCCGGGCTGGACCCGCGCTTGGGAGCTGCCTCCAACAGGGCGCGAGGCTGCGGGGACGGGCAAACCCTTGGTGCCGGATACTGGTCTGACCATCCCCAGCTCCTGGAATTTAAGAGAAAGTGGGTGCTGCCAGCCCTCCCCGTGGATGCCACCAGTCCCTCTCGGCTGTGCCGAGGGTCCCGTGGAGTCTCCACCACTGCAGCGTCCCCTTTAACGCTGCTTCTGCCACCAACTTTTTGATCCAAAATTTGCTTCGGCAGCCTGATGAGGCAACCAACCCTTTTAATTCGTGTGAGCCAGCAGCAGAAGATGCCCTGGAGCCTTCCAGAGAGCATCTGGGTGGTAGGGGAAGGAGGATGAAGACACAACGGGATTCTCCTGGGATAACAGGAGCCAGCGTCTACTGCCAGCTTTGACCCCAGTGGGACTTAGTGGAGTTTGGTCCTCTTTGTAGGGTCGTGGAGGAAATGGTTTTGTGGATAAAATACAGGGAACAGGTTTCTCTGCGTGGTCACAAGCATCTCCTTGTATGTCCCATGCTCCAACCCTGACGATCTTGGTGGCTGCCATTGAACTTGCTCCGGTATGTCCGTGTCCTTCTGTACTGGGGAGCCTGCAGAGCTCCAGGTGTGGTCTTGCAAGTGTTGGATATTTTCACAGTGCCACCAAATTAGCCCGATCCTGAAAAGCGCTGCTAACGAAGCGTTTAGTGCAGACCTCAGTGCTGAACTCGGACTTCTTCATGATAAATCCGAAGCTTTTTGTTTAACCAGGGGAACAATTTTTTATGTAGTTTTCTTAATATTGATCCATTATCCCTTGCACATCTCCACGGAGGGTCCGGCTCCAACTTCAACCACCTTCAAATAATTGAAGACAGAGATTATTTGAGCACAGCTGAAGGTAGTTGAAGACAGCAATTCCTCATTAGTCTTCTCCAGACAGAAACGCCCCAGTTCTGTGGCTTACATCCTAGTTACCTTCAGGAGACATCTGAGCCACCTTGGACTTACCTGAGGATCTTGATTCCTGGCTGGTGGGGAGCAGAGGTCTAAGGCCTTCCTGGTGGGGGTTGTTGCCTCTTTTTGGAAAAGACCTTGGCCATGATGAAGTTATGGGCCAGTGGCTGCACCTGCAGCTGGTCCGCCTCCATGGCCTCTTCTTTAGGCGGGACCATCTCCATGACTTCTTCTTCGGGTGGGGCCACCTCCATGGCCTGTGAATCTCCCACAACGTGGCTGAGGGAAGCTGTTCTGTCCCACGCAGTCTTCCTAGTCTTTCTTCTCCTTTATATATTCCTCCTCCAGCTTTCCTCCATTGACTTCTCATTGCCAGCACCTCCTTTCTGAGCAGGGTCGTGGTGGGTCTGCCCCGCTGCTGGTGGAGGTGTTACGGCCAGCTGTTGTCAGGCCTGTCTTGGAGAGATGGTCACTGGAAAGGACCTCTTTTCCCCAGAGTCTGGCTGAGGTTCTGCAGAAGGTCTTTCCTGGGCCTCCCAACTTTTGAGGAACCTGCTTGAAGGTCTTGGTGCATCACCTAAATGTTAGCAATAACTCCTTGACTCTTTGCTGTTCACCTGCCTGCTCTGTGCCTCCTGGATGCTCACGGCAGCAAGAAGCTCAGCAAGCTGTGGAGCCAGATCAGTGGACGATCTAATAAGGGTTGGGGGATGGTGGACAGTGAGGTGGCTCGTGACATCTCAGGGCTGCTGTGATGTGGTTGCCTACCAGGTTGGAAGAGCGAGAGGGGCAATGCTGCTTAGCCTTGGGTTATTCTTTCACTTGCAGAGAGCCAGGTGGCTCCACAGGGCTGCTCCTGGTCCCTTTGTGGGTCATTGGGCCAGATCAGACTGGTGGGAGAAAGCTGAAGATCATCTGAGATCTTCGGTCAAGGTAGTTTTAGCCTCTGCAGGCAAGAACAGCAACTGAAGTCTTCATGCAGGAACAGGGGTTTCAGCAGAATAGTGGTGTTTGACCTCTGTGTGCCTCAGTTTCCCCGTTTTTCCTAATTAGTAAGAGCTCTGGAGCTTTATTAGTGGTTTGGAGGTGGCTTGGGGAACTGCAGGGTGGAAGCAGCTGAGAGGGCTTGGGGAGAGCTGAGGATGGGTTTCAGGCCTGAGAGGAGCAGATAAACCATCTCCTTTGTGTTTTGGGGACAGCTGTGTGGTCCCCATTCAGGCGTCTGGCTGTAAGGACGCTGCATCCATGTACTGACACCAAGGCTGTTGCGTGCCACGTGCCATCTGCTCACTGACGTGGCGGAGGTGTTGCAACGGAGCAAGCTGGTGCCCCTGGGCCCTCCGTGCCATCAGGGTTTGCCGGGTGAAATTTAGAGGCTAGAACATTTGGCCAGTCCCCAAAGAGACCGTCTGACTTGAATGGTTTTGTGAGTCCTGGGTAATACTCTGCTCTGCCCTAGTGAGGCCCCATCTGCAGTTCTGTGTCCAGTTCTGGGCTCCCCACTTCAAGAAAGATGAAGAGCTACTGGAGAGAGCCCAGTGGAGGGCTACAAGGATGGTGAGGGGACTGGAGCATCTCCCCTACGAGGAGAGGCTGAAGGAGCTGGGCTTGTTCAGCCTGGAGAAGAGAAGGCTGCAAGGGGGCCTAATAAATGCTTCTAAATATCT